TTTAAAATTTCTATAGAAAACATGCATTTTTTCCAATAATGGTAAAACAAAGTATTAAAATAAAAATGAAAGGTAGCATCAGACAATGGGAAAACAGAGGCTGGAGTATGGCAATTAAGTTTAGTATGAATTCAAGTTCTGCCATTTTTACCTGGCAGTTATTTCAAGTCTGTGCTTCCACTGGCATGTTTAATGAGCTACATTATCCCTATTGATGTTTTAACTGGGAATCTCAGTATAGTTGGTTCTTATTATTTGTGACAGTTGGGTTTTATAAAATCACCACAAACATTGAATTAATGAATGCTACATTCCTAAGAGAAATATAAGGTTTGTTTTCTGCAAATCTGTTCATAACATTTGTCAACTGGTCAAATAATACATAACTTGTTTTATGTGTTTCTATTTAAAGAAACCTTATTTAATATGTATCACTGCTTCATTAACATTGAGCTCATGGCCAGCAATGCTATAATCCTTACCCAATGAAGCTTGTCTAACACTTGTATTTCCCATGAGGCAGATCAAAGTCGCCTGTGCCCACAGACACTAAGAGCATGCCAGCACCACATGTGGGGGCCATTTTAAATACCAAAGTCACCAGCAAAAAATATAAAAATGCAAAAAGATGGCACTATATAAACCACAAAAAGTGTAAAGGCTGAGGCAAGAAGGCAGAACATCATTTTGTGTGACCTCAGGTGGAAATGTATCCACAAGGTGTCTCAAAACTTGTGTTGTCTTGTGAATGTCTGCAAATGACTGTGAAAATAACCATTGAGTATTGATTTAAATTTAAGCAAGTAGACAATTTGTAAATAGCACAATGAGGATTTTCCAATTATACAAAACTATGGTTATTTTAAGAGTATATTTTACTTGTTGCTTGTATGTTGTAATTTGTAGTGATTTAATTATGGCAAAACACATGAAAGGAATAGAGAGAATGGGTGGAGGCTGGAAGAGTTTTGAGGTATATGCTAGAAAAAGTCTAGATTGCTGTGCTGAAATTTTATAGGTGATTCTATTGAGGGATCAGAAGGAGAGCTATAGAAAGAGCTCCTATTTTAAATATGCCTAAATAATCTATGGCAGAATGTTGGTAAAAATATGAACAATAGGCCAGGTGCCCATGGCTCACACTTGCAGTTTTAGCTACTTGGTAGACAGAGATCAGCAGGATTGCAGTTCAAAGCCAGCCTAGGCAAGTAGTTCATGAGACCTTATCTAAAAAATGCTCAACACAAAAAAAGGAGTGATGGAGTGGCTCAAGTGGTAAAGAACCTGTCTAGCAGGTGTGAGGCCTTGAGTTCAAGCCCCCCCCCC